GATCTCATCAGTGATAGAGAAGTTGAGCTCATGGAACTGCCCCCTAATTGTTGGAATATTAGGGTAATTCGATGGCCGTGTTTTCTCCTATGCAATGAGTTGCTTCTTGCTCTCAGTCAGGCAAACGAGCTGGCAGATGCACCTGACACGTGGCTTTGGTTGAAGATACTCGAGAATGAGTATGGGCGGTGTTCTGTTATTGAAGCTTATGACAGCATCAAGCACGTGCTTCTTACAATCATTAAATATGGCACAGAAGAGTATTCCATAGTTTCAAAATTGTTTGAAGAGATAGACTTCTGTGTGCAGAATGGGAAGTTAACTGCCACATTCAAGATGACTGTGCTACAGAAAATTCATGCCAAGCTAGTATTACTTGTTGATCTTCTAGTGAAACAGAAAAATGATCCGAGTCGGGCAGTAAATCTATTGCAAGCCCTCTATGAACTTTGCGTTCGAGAATTTCCTAAGACGAAGAAGTCCATTTATATGTTGATGGAGGAAGGTTTGGCACCTAAAAATATGGCAGCAGATGAAGGGCTGCTTTTTGAGAATGCTATCAACATTCCTGGTGCTGAGGATGTTGATTTCTATAAGCAGCTGAGGCGTTTGCATACAATTCTTACTTCTAAGGATTCAATGCATAATGTTCCTGTGAATCTGGAGGCTAGGAGGCGCATCGCTTTCTTTAATAACTCTATCTTTATGAACATGCCCCGTGCCCCTAATGTTGAGAAAATGATGTCTTTTAGTGTTCTAACTCCATACTATGATGAAGATGTGTTGTATAAGAAGGGGATGCTTCAAGATGAAAACGAAGATGGCATTTCTACATTGTTTTATCTCCAAAAGATCTATGAGGATGAGTGGAGAAATTTTATGGAACGGATGCGCAAAGAGGGGATGGATGATGATGATGATATTTGGAGGGAAAAGCTTAGGGATCTTCGCCTTTGGGCATCATACAGAGGGCAGACATTATCCCGCACAGTTAGGGGAATGATGTACTACTACAGGGCTCTTCAGATGCTTTGCTATCTTGATTCTGCATCTGAGATGGACATACGAATGGCCACACAAGAAATTGCTTCTCATCATTCGTTAAACCGAAACCGTGGAGCTATTGATGGTGCTAAGCCGCCAACTGCAAAAAACCTTAACCGAGCTGTTAGTGGTGTAAGCCTGTTGCTCAAGGGACACGAGTATGGATTTGCTTTGATGAAATTTACCTATGTAGTCACCTGCCAAGTTTATGGACGGCAAAAGGCAAAGGGAGAGAGCCATGCTGAGGAAATTCTATTTCTGATGAAAAACAATGAAGCTCTTCGAGTTGCATACGTAGACGAGGTTGAGTTAGGGAGAGACGAGGTTGAGTATTACTCTGTTCTGGTCAAGTATGACCAAAAGTTGCAGAGGGAGGTAGAGATCTATCGCATTAGATTGCCTGGGCCCTTGAAACTTGGTGAAGGAAAACCAGAAAACCAGAATCATGCCATAATTTTCACTCGAGGTGATGCTGTTCAGACCATTGACATGAATCAAGACAATTATTTTGAGGAAACACTGAAGATGCGAAATTTGTTGGAGGAGTTCAAGACCAATCATGGTATTAGGAAGCCAACCGTTCTTGGAGTTCGTGAGAATGTCTTCACAGGTTCAGTTTCGTCCCTCGCGTGGTTTATGTCTGCTCAGGAAACAAGTTTTGTGACCCTTGGGCAGCGTGTTCTGGCCAACCCTTTGAAGGTGAGAATGCACTACGGTCACCCAGATGTGTTTGATCGATTTTGGTTCTTGACTAGGGGTGGAATTAGCAAGGCTTCTAGGGTGATTAATATCAGCGAGGACATATTTGCAGGCTTTAACTGCACTCTGAGAGGTGGCAATGTTACTCACCATGAATATATACAGGTGGGTAAAGGGAGGGATGTGGGTTTGAATCAGATATCTATGTTTGAGGCCAAGGTTGCCAGTGGCAACGGTGAGCAGGTATTGAGCAGAGATGTCTACCGATTGGGTCATAGGTTGGACTTCTTTCGGATGCTTTCCTTTTACTACTCCTCTGTTGGACACTATTTCAACACGATGATGGTGGTATTGAGTGTTTACACGTTTTTGTGGGGCCGCCTCTATCTCTCGCTCAGTGGCGTTGAGCGTTACGCCAAGAATCAAAGTGTCAGCAATGAGGCTCTTGGAACAATCTTGAATCAGCAGTTCATAATACAGCTTGGTCTGTTCACTGCCCTTCCGATGGTTGTTGAGAACACTCTTGAACATGGGTTTCTTCCAGCAGTTTGGGACTCCTTGAAAATGCAATTGCAGCTGGCTTCATTTTTTTTCACCTTCTCCATGGGAACACGGACCCATTTCTTTGGCCGGACTATCCTTCATGGGGGTGCCAAATACAGAGCCACTGGACGTGGTTTTGTGGTTGAGCATAAGTCCTTTGCAGAAAATTATCGACTTTATGCCCGAAGCCATTTTGTGAAGGCAATTGAACTTGGTGTTATCTTAGCTGTGTATGCTTCGTATAGCCCCCTCGCTAAGGATTCATTTGTTTACATAGCTATGACCATTTCAAGTTGGTTCCTTGTGGTGTCATGGATAATGTCCCCTTTTGTGTTCAACCCATCTGGCTTTGACTGGCTGAAGACAGTGTATGATTTTGATGATTTTATGAATTGGATGTGGTGTAAAGGTGGCGCACTTGCAGAAGCCAATAAGAGCTGGGAGATATGGTGGTATGAGGAACAAGACCATTTGAGAACAACAGGCCTTTGGGGAAAGCTACTAGAGATAATTTTGGACCTTCGTTTCTTCTTCTTCCAGTATGGTATCGTGTATCAGTTGGGCATCGCGAATCATAGCACCAATGTTGGTGTGTACCTGTTATCTTGGATATACATGATTGTGACTGTTGGGATCTATGTGGTTATAGCATATTCTCAAGACAAATATGCCGCAAAACAGCACATCTACTATCGGGTAGTTCAGCTTGTAATCGTTATACTTGTGATACTTGTGATTGTTTTATTGGTTGAGTTCACTTCATTTAAGTTCATTGATCTTGTGACAAGTCTTATGGCATTCATTCCTACGGGATGGGGTATGATATCCATTGCCCAAGTGCTTAGACCTTTTTTGCAATCCACTGTGGTGTGGGAGACTGTAGTTTCCTTGGCACGGCTGTACGATCTGTTGTTTGGAGTGATTGTCATAGCTCCTGTAGCATTGGTGTCGTGGTTGCCCGGATTCCAGGCAATGCAGACAAGAATCTTATTCAATGAGGCGTTTAGCAGAGGTCTTCAGATTTCTTGCCTTATTTCCGGAAAAAAGTCAACTGAATGATGTTGAGGTAGCTTTCTTTAATCATACATGGGTTTAAGCATTTGCATAATTTGTTCAACAATATTCTTTCTGGCTGTGCATGTATAGTTGGCGTTTGTTTTGGATGGCATATTTCGTTTTGTATTCATGGCTGTTCCAACATAAGTCGGATTTGGTGAAGTTTTTTAGCAACTTGTGCGTGCTATGTTTGACAAACATTTTTGTTCTGTTTTAGTTTATTCTAATATTCGACTGCAAGTTTGGTACTTTTAACAATATTACATTATATCACCATGCCAACTGATTTTCTTTTCTAGTCCTGTGTTTCGGTTTTCACAAGCCATAACTGTAAACTTATATTCTGATCCAGTCTGCAACATGCTTCATATTATTGTTCAAGTCTTAAAAGCATTGACAGTTTGAACTTGCAAAACCCGAACTTGTTCTTATGCATATCTATATTTCAATGCCGTCTTTTACAAGCTACATTGTAGGGTTCTCGAACCAGACAGCTACGAGCTTCTCATTTTCCACTTTGGAGTAACCATGTAAATCATTAGACATAGTCTGTAAATTGATGGATAAATGTCTTGCTTTTCTCGCTTTTGTATTGTGGTGTAACGAAAAATACAAGGTTAAGGAATCAGGGTCATTTCTTCAGTTGGAAAGGAGTCGAGGGGTCTTTCCTTTGTTGGTCTTTTCTTTATAGAGAAACAAAATGGGGGTGTGATTAAAATGTTGATATAACTTTTTGTTATCTGATTATAATATCTCCTTTTGTGATTCAGAGTTGTAGTACAAATTTCAAATGATGAAAACTCTTGGCATTATTTGAGAAAAAAAGCAGAGCCTGAAGCTTGAAAGCTGAATTGAATGCAAAAGTAAAGAATTTGGACAAACAATGCAATGATAGTGTCTGCTTCGATATCAAATGAAGGATAGTGATTATATCCTTGCAGCTGAGGACAACAATGCCATAATCTGATCTCGCTTTCCTTGTTGACCTTATTCATCTGTTATTCAGGGTAAAAGAAATGTAGTTTCAAATCTATCAAGTCTAGTTTTATCTCCTATTAATAGTTTGAATGAGTTCATAAAGATTACTCTACTCGAGTTTCACATTTAACATGCAAAATCAAGGTTTCCCCATTACAATTAAAAGGAGGTAATTGCATAATTTTTTTGATATCATGGTCTCGATAAAATTCAAGGAGTAAAATCTGTCTGGCAATTATTGAACTTCCATTAAAACAGTAGGCATTGCAACAATGGCAAAAAGCTCCACGGGGAGATGCCTGAACCAATCAAAGTCAGCAGCTTTGTTACAAGAACATGAGAGAAACGTAAATTCAGGCGACAAAGAAATATATTAATATCATCGATCAGTGGCTGCATTGAACGCCCAATGTGCATTTCAGTTTCCTTCAAGCTATTTATGATTCTTTGGTTATTCGATTCAATGATAACATTCTGCCGTTGCTGTGATTTAGCAAACTATGAACCCAGCTGGACAGCAAGAGATACTGTCAGTAGTGACGAATGAGGGAAGACTAGTTCGTTTGCTCCCAGACCCATTCGAATTGCCTGCAATTACAGCTAAACCTTGTAGTTTTGTGGGTCTGAATCGAAGGGAGCGTCAACGTTGATTTTGATGAAATTCAGAGAGGATTCATGTCTGGTGACAGGAAATCATGGTAGCTTTCCCTCGCCTCATTCTATACTTGAAAACGGATCAAGTGATATTCCTCAAAGGAGCAGAGGTTACGACACTTCCAACTTGTCCAGCATCTGCATAAAGAAAATTTTAACGACACTAATGAATTTAGTATAGTTTTGGTTGGTGTTCGAGGATGCGTACTTGAGCATCGTTATCCTTGATGACGGAGATAGAAAGGTACGCTACTTGGAATGTTTAATGTAGATAGGCATAATTGGTTTGTTTTTTCAGTTCCTTGGCTTTGTTTGCATTTTCGTTGCTGCTCTTGGTGATTATCCCCCCCCCAAAAAAAAAAACATCGCATTATTGCAATAATTAGAGATTTCAACTAAATGGTTGCACATTTTAGTGTTGTATGTTAGTATCACATGCGGTGCCACAAACACGAAAAAAAACAATTGAAGTAGGACCCCATCCCTTGCCCTACTACGTTCAACATCCATCAAAAAGCACTGATGCTCCAATGGCAACTCATCAGCTCGCTAAGCACTGACGTTTCTGCCCCTGGCCTGCAGCTCTGAGGGGTGGTTTTGTTCAGCTTCTAATGTGCACCGATGCTTCACCCAGCTAATCACTAACATTCCTCCATTCCCACCAAGAAAACTAACACAACAGAACAATGGCTTTTAAGCTTAAAATCAATCTAACACAACAGTTGCCGATAAAATTCGAGAAATCTAGTTAAGAAGGTGAAAACAAGGATAAGAAATTTTCTTTACAAGCAAAAGGCTGCTTACTACCTTCTCACTTTCTCTTTTCAAACAGTTCAAAGACCCAACTTCACAAAATATGTACTTCCAAATTACAAGATATCAAAATATTTAAAAAGAAAACAGAAGCATCAACAACAAACAATGTAATTTTTTTTTTTTGCAGAAAAAATAGAGATGCAAATCTAATCATACTTTTCTCTCCAAGAGTAAACCAAAAAGAAGACCCAGGAGAGAGCCAATAAAATGTCGCCAACTGTTTGCCTAAGCCAATCCCAAGCCAAATCCTCCACCCTTCTCTCGAACCAGAATCTCCATATCGCTACCATAACATGCAAGACCGTGCAGCCTTTGGCAAAGAAGGATTGAAAGCTTCTGTCTTTGACAAAAGAGACCATGAACAGCAAGAAGCCGATCGCGAATAGGAGCAAACCCGAGAAAGAATCGGATGTCCGGATCAAGAGCTGATCGTGTGGGGTAGAGCCCATGAGCTTCGTGGCGGTCTCGATCCCGTGGGTGAAGGTGTAGATTTCCTTCATTTTGAACATCATGAGTGCGCCGCTCGACAAGGCGATCGCTGAGTGGAGAAGACAGATCAGCGTGAAAGCTGACGATGATGATGTTGTTGTCGACATTTTTGTGGGGAGGTTTTTTCCTTTCCAAAGTAAATTATGAAGTGTTTGGCAAAAGAGGCATGGCTGTAGTAAATTAAAACCCTAACACTATGCTCGTTTCAGGAAGAAATATATTTTCGTTGGCTTTTTTTGAAGATTCAGGGGAGCTGGGTTTTTTTACCCAAGATAAGGATCAAGTGGAACTCACTCCGACACATGAAAAATAATATGATCGTCCTTGTACAGACACGTGGCATATTCTAAGTAGTGCTGACAGGTAAGAAAGAGTTTGTACATTTTGTATTGCTTTTGATTTATTCGGCTGAAAATACTCATCTCCATCTATTTAAGGAGTGTAGTTTCCAAATTTTGCGTTCCTTTCAAATAATTTTAATTTTTTATTGAATTCCGATTGTAATATTTCAAATATTGACATGTTCAAGTATATAATTTTTTCTCAAAATAATTTTCTATTCAATAATTTCAAAATACTCATTTTCCGTATACGTTTCCGTAAACAAGTTATAAGTATCGCATCACTTTTAAAAATATTTTCTTATTTGTAAACCCATAAAATTTTGTTTCAAAAACAAAACATTTTAATATAAAATGAAACATTCATCGCAACATATTACAAAAAGTATAACTTTAATATATTCCAGAGCATTTTTTTTAAAATTCAAACGCATGCCATCTAATTATAAAAAGAAGACATAGTCAACATTGGATTGATGATCTCTGCTGCACTCCTTACTCTGCTAGTCTTTGCTATTTACTACATGTGAAATCAACAAATGTAAGTATTTACTTAGTGAAACATAATAATGTAAAGGAACTATAATTCATACACAAGTATATCATGACTATCAAAATACGAAATAAATCATATACTTCATAAGAATCATTTCAAACCATCTCAGTTAAACCAAGTTTCTTTCATATAGTCATCGAAACTATTCTTAGTATGCCCAACGTACCTATCTATTTGTATTTCTCTAATTATCTTTTATTTTGCCCAATGTATGTCAACTGAGAATACAAGGTACATGCATTGCACCGAAGTGTTGAAATGGTAATTCACCTCATTATAAATACCATGGGTGACACCTTTTATGCCGAAAATGCACCGTTATGCATTAAGCAAAATCGATCGATAATTTTCATACACGAAGTATGTTGAAATGGTAATTCACCTCATTATGAATACCATGGGTGGTGCCTTTTTTGCCGAAAACGCACCGTTATGCATTAAGCAAAATCGATCGATAACTTTCATACACAAAGTATGTCGAAATGCACCTATGATTCTCAATGCACATACAATGGGCTTTTAAGTCAAATCCACATATTTAAACATTTATTTCTGCAATATCGATAACCATTTAACAACATCAACATTCATCCATTCATTTCAGAGTTGTTCATACTCTAAAACTTATTCATAATATCATTCACATACACATTATGAAAATATATCAAAATACTTTAAAACATACATTTAACAAAACCTTCGAGGTTGACTCATCGCGAGTCTTCCTCATCTCATGTAAGTACAATATATGCACTCACTTGATTTGTCTCACTAGTATGCTTTAAGGATGTCCAGCTATTCAACAACTTTATCTTTACCCTTTTTCTTGTTTGACTCTGGAGCTTGGTTACGATCTATACAAGCATCCATTATTACACATACCATACAAATGTTATTATACTTTCTAACATTTATTCTTTTGATAATACTTAAAAAATACTATTATTTTCAATTTCTATTAAAATTCATCATATCTTAAAATTCCAAGCTCAACAGTATCGATACCCCTACTATTGTATCGATACTTCTATACTATGGTATCGATACTTCTATACTATGGTATCGATACTCCTTTCAGTATCGATACCATTTTTACATTCTGGAATCCATAGTATCGATACCCACAGCAGTATCGTTACTACTTCCATTAGTATCGATATTGTTCATTGAATTTTCTCAAATTTAAACTTATAGTATCGGTATTGTTCTTCCAGTACCAATACCCTTACCCAGATTTTTCATTTCAAATTTTTACCCAAATTTCATTTAATACTCTTTATTTTACCTACAACAATACCCTTAAACTTATCATCACTTAACCCAACTAACTTTCCTCCATTTAGCTTCTTATAACATCTAAACTCTTCAAAGAACATCCCAAACTAAGAATCACACTACTTTTTCATACATGTTTTTAATCACTTTTAAGGCTTCTAATATCTTATTTACTTCTTTGACAAGTCAAATATACTTGTAAACCTCAATAAAAACTCATATTTCAACAAATAACTAAAAAAAACCCATTTTCTTTAATCTCAAATAAATCATTCATCTCTTAGTTTTAATCCTCTTTAAACCTTTATTAAGCTTCCACATCACTTAAGGTTTCAAAGGCAAACCAAAAAACGAAAGGAAAAACTAACTATATGAAGTCTTACCTTTGCTATGGGGGCTCAAGACGTGAGGAAGAAGAAGAGGAGAAAACCAACATAACTTATCCTTTAGTCTCATATTCACTTATATTAAATATCCCCATTAAATGAATATTAAATTCATTTTATCCAAATGACTAAATTGCCCCTCAATTCTTCCATTCTTAAAATTAGTCTTAACCAAATTTCCTAATTCATTTCTTGTACTTTACCATTTATTCAAATTAAATCCTCTAAATTTTAAATCCTTTTATTATGGTTACCGACCCGATATTTAGGGTATTACAATTCTTTTCCTCAAGAAAATTCTTCCTCGAATTTTTAAAAATACCTGATACGAAGAGGTGTAAAAATGTTTCCTCATGTCATCTTCTCTTTCCCAAGTATCTTATTCTACCTTATGGTTTTTCCAAAGTACTTTAACAATAGGAATCTTCTTGTTACGCAGTTCTTTGCTTTATCGAGCCAAGATCCGCACTGGTTCTTCCTCGCAAGTCAAATCTGGTCAGATCTCTATTTTCTCTGGTATGATAATATGAGATGGATCTGATCGGTACCTTCTGAGCATCGACACGTGAAATACATTTTGGATCTTTTCCATATCAGGAGGCAAATCTAACTGATAAGATATTGGTCTGACCCTTTTCAAAATCCCATAAGGTCCAATGAATCTCAGACTCTACTTTCCTTTGCATCCAAATTTCAATACTTTCTTCCAAGGCGATACTTTCAGAAATACATTGTCTCCCACTTGAAATTCAATCTCTTTTATTTTCAAATCAGCATAAGATTTTTGTCGATCGGAGGGTATCTTAAGATTATCCTGGATAACATTCACTTTCTCTTCAATTTCTTTCATTAAATCTGGACCTACTAGGTCTCGATCTTTTAGTTCAAACCAATTTAATGATGTTTGACACTTCCTCCCATACAAAGCTTCATACGGGGCCATCTTAATACTCGATTGGTAACTGTTGTTATAAGCAAATTCCGCTAAAGGCAAATACCTTTCCCATGAGCCTTTGAACTCAATTACACATGCCCTTAGTATATCCTTCATTCCCTGAATAGTTCGTTCTGACTGCCCATCTATTTGCAGATGAAAAATTGTGCTAAAATTCAATCGAGCACCCAATGCCTCATGTAAAGACTTCCAGAATCTTGAAGTAAACCTTGGGTCTCGATCGGACACTATCGATATAGGCACTCCATGCAGCTGAACTATCTCTTTTATATACAATTATGTATATTTATCCATCGAGTAATCCACCCGAACTGGAATAAAGTGAGATCTCTTGGTCAATCTATCCACAATTACCCATATTGAGTCATTTTTACCGGGTGACAAAGGTAGCCCCGAAATAAAATCCATTGCAACTCGTTCCCACTTCTACTTGAGAATGGATATCGTTTGTAGTAATCTGGAAGACACTTGATGTTCAACTTTCACTTGTTGACATGTCAAACATTTTGCTACAAACTCTGATATAACTCTTTTCATACCAGACTACCAATAACTACTCTTTGTATCCTGATACATCTTAGTCCCGCCTAGGTGCATCATCAAAGGACTATAATGTGCCTCAGAAAGAATATATTTCTTCAATTCTTCATTATCTGGAATGAAAAGTCTTCCACGATAATACAAACATCCATCACTTCTTATCTCGAAGTCTTTAGCCTCATATTTGTCTACTTAAGCAATTTTAGTCAAACATGTTCCATCTTGTCTTTGCAGCTCTTTTATCCGATTCAAAAGAATCAGATTTAGTTTAAACTCAGTAATTAAGACTCCATCTTCCTTTACTGACATATGTTTATCCAAAGCTCGTAGAGCTGCAAAAGTCTTTCAACTAACTGCATCAGCTACCACATTAACTTTTCCTCGATGATAATCGATCACCATATCATAATCTTTTAAAATCTCGATCCATCTTCTCTACCTCAAGTTCATTTCTTTTTGGGTCAACAAATACTTTAGACTCTTGTGATATGTATAAATATGGCACCGTTCACCATACAAATAATGACACCAAATTTTCAAAGCAAACACGACCAAAGCCAATTCCAAGTCATGTGTTGGGTAATTTCTCTCATGAGTTTTCAACTGTCTTGAGGCATAAGCCACGACTTTTCCATCTTCCATATGGAGTTCTTTGCTTTATCGAGCCAATATTCGCACTGGTTCTTCCTCACAAGTCAGATCTGATCAGATCTATATTTTCTATGGTGTGATAATATGGGATAGATCTGATCGGTACCTTCTGAGCATCGACACGTGAAAGACATTATGGATCTTGTCCATATCAGGAGGCAAATCTAACTGATAAGCTACTGGTCTGACCCTTTTCAAAATCTCATAAGGTCCAATGAATCTCGAACTCAACTTTCCTTTGCACCCAAATCTCAATACTTTCTTCCAAGGCGATACTTTCAGAAATACCTTATCTCCCACTTGAAATTCAATCTCTTTTATTTTCAAATCATCATAAGATTTTTGTCGATCGGAGGCTATCTTAAGATTATCCTGGATAACTTTCATTTTCTCTTCAATTTTTTTCATCAAATCTGGGCCAACTAGGTCTCGATCATTTAGTTCAAACCAATTTAATGATGTT